GCACACATTTCTGAAGGCTACCTGCAGAGCCGCTTGTTGCTCAGACAAATCTGAGCTTCTGAGAGGCCAGTATACCCAGAGTAACACAGAAGTGGGGGGTGGCAGGGCAGTGTGGGGGAGTTGAACCCCTACGCAGGTTGAGTTCAGAAGCTAGAATCTTTACTTGGCTCAAAGAGGAAATACATGAACACAAGTTCTCTTCCTTGATTTGGGAAATTTTTTTTTGAGACATCTCGTATAATAGCCCAGGTTAGCCTGAAACTCACTATGTAGCCCAGGCTGGCCTAGAACTCCCAGTTCCCCTGCCTCAGCCTCAAGTGTTGGAATTATAGGCATAAGCCATCATAAAGGGTTCCAGATACCTTTTCTATTTTCTTCTTTAAAATTTTAATTGTTTGCTTATTTTTGAGACAGGGTCTTGTCCAGTCAGGTTGGCCTGGAACTTTTGGTCTTATCGCCTCAGCCTCCTGATGCCTCTACCAGACTGATTTCCACAGGTTATTTTTAGTGTATTTGAACCACATTTACCAGGGGGTATGGTGTGTGTATGTGAAATGAATAATAGCCATGTTACTTATTTAACTTCATACTTGCAAAAATGTTACCACTGTAATCCATAATTATTACAAAAGTTACTAACCGAAGTTTTATTCTGGGGGATGAAGGGATGGCTCAGCAGTTAAGAGCACTGGCTGTTCTTCTAGAGGACCTGGGTTTGATTCTCAGCACCCACGTGGCAGCTCACAACTGTAACTCTGCTTTCAGAGGATCTGATGCTTTCTTCTGGCCTCTACAGGCATCAGGCATGCTTGTGGTGCACAGACATACGTGAAGGACACTCATCCACCTAAATTTTTTTTTTAAATTGTGTTTTTCTCTACCCTGCCTAGGATCCAGAGTCCCAAGTCTTCTGAGCCTCCATGCTTTGCAGGTAGCAGTTCTGACCAGACACACCTAAAGGCCTGGTGGCCACCTGCAGCTTCAACTTCTGACCAGGACAGAATTTATTATACTCCTTGGGTTTCCACTAAGGCAGAGTCTAATGTGTCTCTGTCTGGCCTTGAGCCCCACAGTGTGTCTTAAGGATGACCCTGAATTCCCAATCTCCAGCCTCCAGAGTGCTGGAATTACAAGCCTGCTTCACCAGAGTCGTTTTTATTTGGTGCTGGGAACAGAACCCAGGGCTTTGTCTCTGCTAGGCAAGCAGACTATCGCTACCTTCCCTCACCTCTAGGTTCTTCTTTCAAAAGCCACAGCACATTCCTTTACATAGGTCTTCATTCACAAAACATCCACAAGTCTATTGTGGGTTTATAGGCTATTTTAAACGTAATTTCTGTTTGTGTATTTAAAAGTGAAAATAAAAACACTGACTAGGGAGTGGAAATCAGCCTGGAGGTGCTCTCCCACCCCAGCACAGACTTATCTTGTTTTCTGGGGAGCCTGAACTGGAAAGGCCCGATCCTTAGCCTGGGGGAAGGGGGGGGGGCAAGATAATGACATAATTAAGGCTTGTGGCCGGGCACTTTTGATCTTCAAGGACCAGAGCCCACATGGCTGAGACTCCATTTGGGTTAATTGCCCAGAACCAAGAAAGCCTTGCCCAGAGATAAAGGGAAACTGGTGTTTCAACATTACAAATTGTTCTGGGATGGCTCTGGCAGAGCCTGGATGCCTGGGGCCCAGCTGGCCCCACCCGCATAGAGAGGGTCCTGTGGGTTCCTGGGGACTGCTGGGTGCAGAGACCACCTGCAGGGTGAAACACTGACTTCCAAATTTTTTTTTTCCCAGATAAAGGAGCCAAATTCAAGGCGAGCTAGGGACAGATCACACCAATAACACCAATAATAAGTCCGCAGCACAGAGCAAAGGAGGCTTCGATGTGCCTCTTTTAGGGGCTGGGCTGGGATGTCTAGACTTGGAGCTACCCATCCATATAGCCTTTGCATTCTTGCCTAGTGCAAATGCAACCTGGGCCGTTCTAGTTTCCTGTCTTCTTGGATCTCCCAAGGGATGGAACCCTGGGACTCAGTACCACCTGCTCTCTGTAGACTGGAAGAAGGTCTAAGTCCCTCTGCCTCGGGGTGGCTGTGTGAAATTATTTCGCAGGGAGAAAGACTGACATCAGTATCAGGGCTCAGTATCGGTCCTTGCAGCTAATGATCGCAATAACAGCGATTGCAATAATTGAGCACGGATAATTGAGTTCCAAGTAGTTGCAGGGCACTGGCAAGGTGGATGAGTGTGGGGGAAAAGGAGTGCTTCACGTTTAAGATGCGGGGCTATGAGGCGATTTCTCAGTCCAGCCCGATGGTCTCCCTCTCTCATAGTCGTTGTCTACACTCCCCTGTGTGCTCCCGGTCTTGGATGGAGAGAGCACCATCAAGGGTTAGTTGTTAGTTGGTTACCTCAGCTGCTCAACCCCTCTCTTGGGCTATTTGAAGCACTTGACACTTTAATTATGGGCGGGCGGACACGTCGCGCTGCGCCGGGGGCGCTGGAGACAGGCCGGAAGCATCCGCTCTGGGGGCGACCGGACATCCCTGGTCACCGCCAGGTGCACCTTCTGGTGCCGGTCCCCACCTCCTCGCCTAGCTTGGAGCTGCTGGTGCCTTCTTCCTCCAGGGACCCTCCACCTGACATCAGGTGGCCACAGCCTCTAAGATGTTTGCCCTGGTTGGGGCAGGATTATTTGGGGATGGGTGCGGGTCTTTCTCTGGTACCGGGCTTGGGGGTTGTTCTCAGTCGCTGGGGCGGGGATGCCCCGTGGAGCCTGGAGCGACGCACCTACAGGCTAGGGCAGCAGCCGCCCACACCTCCTCCGACTCTAAAGTATATTTAGCCTCATTACCAAATGTTTGCAGTGAACCGAGTGAACTGCCTAATAGCGGCTGGAAGTGAAACTCGAATCCCAGCCAGAGGGAAGCACGTGATCTCTCCCACCAGAAGGGCTCACCGAGGCGCGGGCGGGACAGGTGCGGTGGCCTCGAGCGCATGCAACGCCGCCAGCTTGGCTTGGTTTCTTGGTGTTCTCTGGAAGCCTGACACCTGAACCTCACCCCCTCACACAGCCCCTTCTCCAGAGGTCAAAATGAGAACTGGAGAGTGAGCAGCGGGTCCCAAGGGGAGCCGAGGCACGGGGCTGGTCTGAGTTGGCTGGTTCTCCTTTAGGCCCTTGACCACATGTTTTAGCCAGTCGCAGTTTTCAGAGACCAGGTGTCCATGTATTAGGCGTCTTCCGAGGACCTATGGGAGGGTGAGTGGGTAGGGGTCGCTGTCTCACATCAGAGAACCCTGTAAGCTTAAGGGCACGTGCCCCAGTCCCCTCAGGCGGCTGGCGCCGGGCTGCACAAGCTCTTACCACCCTCGCGCGGCCGCTGTTGTTGCGGTCGCTATGACGACGGGTCGCGGTTTTATTTTTAATAGCGGTCGGCGATTAGAGCAGTGCCTGCACCCAGCTCCCCGCAGCTCCCGCGTCTCCGGCACTGCATCCAGGCCGAGCTTCAGTCTGGCCCCAGATGTCCCCTTGCGCCTTCAGAAATCCTCCCGCCCTGCTCTGATTTCCAGCTGGGCTCCCCTGCAGCGCCAAGAGAGTAAGGGGGAGAGAAAAGCACCGATAGGCGGGGTCCCCAGGAACCCGCGGGCCTCCACGCGGAGGTGGTGGCCGGACGGGCGCGGCATCCCCTCCGCAATGCAACCCGATCTTCTTCCTGGATTCCCACATCCACCGTCACACCGGGTCGTCGAACTGCAAAGAGGTGTCCTCTGGTCCTCTCTGCCTGTGAGGAGCCCGAGGGCTTGGCAGGACAGGACGCGCAGTACTCTCGGCATAAGAAGGTGAGGAACTCTACCCAGGTCCAGCTGGGTCCTGTTAGTCACCGCCAGAAGCCACCCGGTGAGCCTCCATCGCCAAAGAGGCACAAAGTTCCACCAACACGGATAAGGCCTTGGCTTTTGAGGACCTCGAGGTGGGGTGCTTCCCAACGTTTTCCAGAATCCCTTGTTAGGCCGAGAGGGGGTGTCATGTCCCGAGCACCTCAGGTGTTAAGGCAGGGGCTTGGCGATGGGGGGGAGGCTGCAAGCCTAAAGAAGTCTGTGTAACAACAGTAGATGCTGGTTGCAACGATTATCAAGGGAGGCTCGACACCCCCTCTCCCCCCAGGTATTTGGGGCTAGGTGAGCCGCCCTAGAAGGGCCCTCCAACTTGGCCTTTGACATGCAAGAACCCGAGGAGCTGGGGATAAAAGGCTCCTGCCCCGTTGCGCCTTTGTCTGGGGACAAAGGAGATTGGGGAGGGGGGTGTCGACCGGGGCAGGGTGCACGGGTTAATCTATATGATAAGGAGTGAACTGGACGGGCAGTGTTCTCTATTACACTCCTATCCGTGGAACGTTTTGGTCTTCGGAGCCCTAGGCTTGTCTAGCTTTGGGATTCGAAAGATCCACAAATCCCCTAACTCCGGTGCGTGGCGGGGCACTGATATAGTAGTATTGGCCTTGCCGTCGGGTCACTTCCCACCTGAAATCCGTCTTGTAGTGGGAGAACCGTCCAACCCTGATCAGACTTCTGCCCCCCACCCCACCCCCCGTGTCGCTTCCCCGCCACCCGGTCTGTGCTATGACTTGGCCGGAGGTGGCGCTCTGCGTTCTTTTGGACCCCAAGGCAGAACCCAGGAGTTCCTCACCCGTAGCTTCTTTTCTGTCTTTCCTTCTACCCCCTCAGCTCCCCGGGTTCAGGGTGCTGCTGGGCCTTCGGCCAGGGGCTAGGGATCTGGAGGGTGCAGGGTGTCAAGGTGGCCATGAGGCAGGCGGCAGCCTCCTCCCCGACCCGGGCTTCGTTTCCACCTCCACACAAGAGTGCAAGTTCCTCAATCAGGTGTCCCAAGCTTTGGCTCTGGGGCGCGGGCGCGTGGCAGCCGTCAGGTGAGTGCCCTAGACGCGCCCCTAAACCCGCCCCGCCTCTCCACAGAGACTCACTCCCCCTCCTTTTATGGAGAGGGGAAGGCTGGAGCCCTGGATCCGCACGGTGGGAAGCGGCCCGAGCGCCGGGCGGGGGCCGGGCCGGCTCTCATGCCCTTTTTGGCGCAGCAGCTCTGGGCGCTGCCCTTTACTGCCGCTGGGGCCCGAGAGAGAGGCGAGCCGGAGACGGCCGTGCTTCTGCAGCGGCCTCCTCCCCTCCCCGCCCGGTGCCGCAGGATTGCAGCTGGCACTGAAGGGTGGGCAAGCTCGAGGGAGGGGCGCTCTGGGAGCCCCGGCGCCTGTGGGCTCTGAGCCGCGGGCGCCGAGCTTGGATGCATTTAGCTGCCTGCGTGAGCGCGTGTGTGGCCACTGCAGTGGCGGTGGCGGCTGGGCCCGATTTGGCCCGCGATACCCCTGCGCGCTTCCGAGGTGCGGGTCCCGGGCCGGAATCCGGGGGAGGCGGGGGGAGGGCGGGGGCGGGGGAGGGGCGCGGTGGCGGCGCTATAACCCCCTCCCTGTCGCCGGCCGGCTCCACACGCGCGTCCTGCGGAGCCCGCTCAACTCCAGGAGCCCGGCCTGCCTGCGTCTTCCCCTTCTCCACCTCCTCCTCTGGTCTTCCCGCGGCTGCTGCGGCGGCGCCAGCGGCGCCAGCTCGGCCCTCTGCCCGCCCTCCGGCCCGTGCGAGAGGCACAGCGAGGCCCCGGGCGGGTTGGTTGCTGCCAGGCGGCGCGGCCGCGGGAACTGCCCGGCCCCGGCGGGCGGAGGGCGGAGCGCCGCGCCGTAGCGGAGGGCGCGCCGCGGAGGGGCGCACGCAGGCCGCCGGGCCGCGCTGTGCTGGGCCGCCGCGCCGTGCCCGGCCCGGGGCGGCAGCGGCGAGAGGAAGGCCCGGGGACAGGCTCTCGGGGCTGCCCGTAGCCTTCAGGGAGAAGCGAGGTGGCAGCCGGTACCGGACCAAGAGTCCAGACAGGTGATCGGCGGGAGCTGCAATCACGCTCCGTGGTCCCCTCCCGGGGCTGATGGCAGCAAATATGCGGATTTACCGGCCGGGTCGCTCCTAAAGCCAGCGACGGGGAGCGAGCGCGGCGGCGGCCAGCACGGGGAACGCACCAAGGAAGAAGCCCAGCCCCCGCCCTCCGCCCCTTCCGTCCCCACCCCCTACCCGGCGGCCCAGGAGGCTCCCGGCGCGACTCTGTTCCTCCTCCTCCTCGCTGGCTCTGCACTCGCTGCTCGCGCCGGGCGCGCTCCGCAGGCTCCCTGCTCTCCGCGCCACCCTCCTCCGGGCCGCGCTCCCTGAGGGATGGTACTGAATTTCGCCGCCACAGGAGCCCGGCTGGAGAGCCCGCCCCGCGGCCTCGCCTCCCTGCCGAGCTTCCAGCGCCTCGGGACGCGATGAGGACCTGGGCTTGCCTGCTGCTCCTCGGCTGCGGATACCTCGCCCATGCCCTGGCCGAGGTGGGTGCCACCCCCGCGCCTCCGTCCCTTCTTGGCTCCCTCTGCGCACGCCCCCCTCGGCTACCTGTTTCAAGCTCTGCGAAGAGCATTTCGATTTTTGCCAGGGTGGTGTAATTTAAAAAAAAAAATTCCCAACTGGGTTCTATTTTCTGCCATGCCCAAGTGTGTCTGGTGAGTTTCCAGCGCGTTGCGTCGCTCCGCCTTGGGGAGGGACGGGGGGAGCCGCGAGGTGAACCAGTGGGCAGAAACTTCGGGGGTCTGTCGGTGCCTTTCCAGGAGGGGCAGCCCGAACGCAGCGGACAATGCAGTAACGGGGTGCGGGCAGCGGGAAAGGGGGTGTGTGTGAACTGACCATGCCCTGGGAGGGGACTAGGGCGGGCAGTAAGCAGGTAAAGGAGGGTGCGGCTGAAGCCTGGGACTGGGCAGGGTGGGCAGCGCCCAGCCGCAGTCCCTAGTTCCCGGTCCCCAAGCCCAGTCGGACGCGGGGCTGGAGCAGTCTCCGCCCGCCCAGGGCCTGCTTACAGGTGGCTGAGCGAGGCAGATGGGGCCGGGCCAGGCGCCCGCGCCCTCCCACCGCTACCACCACCCCCAGTCCCCGGGAGCTTTGCCGTGATGAATGACTTTCCACAGCCCCTGTCGTGGGAACTTCGTGGTTGAGTCCCCCAGCGACCCTGACTCCCTTTAAAAAAATCTGGGAGGGAGAGTGGGGGAGGCTGAGCGGTGGGGGTGGTCTGGGCAGGGACCGGAGAGGCGCGAGGTGGATATTTAACCCCTTGCGTTCCCTGCAGCCTCTTTAAGCCCCACTGGATTTGGGCGTCCTAGTCGGCGCTAGGGCCGTGACTGGGCCGGAGCCGGGTGGGGCGACAGCGCGCTCGTGCGTGCGGGGGTGCGCGAAGACCCTCTCCCCTACGGGCTCGTCCCAGGATTCCCGGGAGTGAAATTGAACCCTCAGGCTAGATTAAAGTGTTGGGGCTGCTGAGACTCCAGGCAAGGATCCGTGACGCATTTCAACCCTCTCTTTCTACATGTGGATTTGGCGATTAAACCAGAAACTCTTCGGGCCCCTAACTGCCCCCGGACACCCTGGGGAGGGCCAGATTGCGGGTGCTTTTTTGTCTGAACATGTCAAGGCGGTGTTGGGGTGGTTTTTTTTCTTACCAAGGTCAGACAGACAGGAATGGGGTGGAGGACTTGGGGGGTCCCATCTAGCCCCACCCGAGCCTCTGGTTCTAGAGCTTGGCGGGGTTCGGGCGGGGCTGCGTGGCCTCTGGGGCCTGGCTGGAACCCCTGGGCGCGTCCTGACGGTGTGGTCTGCTTGCAGGAAGCCGAGATACCCCGAGAGCTGATCGAGCGGCTGGCTCGAAGTCAGATCCACAGCATCCGGGACCTCCAGCGACTCTTGGAGATAGACTCCGTAGGTAAATCGCGCCCCTGCCCCTGGCTGCGGGAAGGGCGCGGGCGGCGGGGCGGGCAGTTCGCGAGAGGAACCGTACCCAGCGCTCGGCCGGGCCGGGTGCTGCGCAGGAGCGCACCGAAAGGTCAGACTCCACTCGCCGGCCATAAACGCCCAGGCGTATGAGTCAGGCGTTTCTCCTGCAGCCGCCACTTTCTCTCCCAGCGGCTGCCGAGGGTTGCTTCGCTCGCCCGGGGGTTGTTTTTGCATTTAAGGGAAACGCAGCGGGTGTGTCACTGAAAGTTCAGCTTTAGAGTGTGCCGAAAGACCCTGCCAGGTGTGCGGGTCAACGGCCGCCACTGGCCCTGTAGCACGGGAGCCCGCCCGGAGGGCGCGGGGCTCTAGCAGGTCTTCCGCCTGGCAAGGTCCCCCTAGAGCGTTGAGAAGCTAGTCGGTCCGGGCCTTTTGCAAACTACTCTCCCCGGTGCCTTGATTGCCCGGGGCTGGGTCCCTGTGGTAGCCACAGGAGGCCAATGTTTTTCTCAACTTTATCCTGTTTAAAAGGCGCGCCTGGGACACATTGCGCTTGGGGCTATTTTGGGGGCTCCCAGCCTCGGGCTAGAGCCAAGTCCCCCGCAGAAAACAATTTGTAAATGTAGAATTGGATTAGACTCGGGTCGACAAGTGCTAAAATAGAGGGTCATGGGTGGGGGTGGGAGAGGCACACTGTGTGCTGGAGGACAAGGTCTCCTTCTCTGTCTTTTGTGACAACCTTTTCAAAGTGAACACTTGGCCTGGGTATTCTTTTTGACACGCTGGGATAAAATATACCAGCTTAAAAAAAAATGACCCGATGAGTTTGTCAGGAGGAACTAAAGGACGCTAAAGTGAAGAATTCTGAGTGACGATCTCCCCCGACCCCACCCCTGCAAACTTCAGAAAAGGGGGAGTGGTGAGAGAATTAAGTAAAATCACATGGCCCAACCATTTGGAAATTTGTACCTAATTATGGTGGTGGAGAGGCCTGAACTGTTTTTGTTGCATGCCAGAATCATTTTTTAACAAGGCGGCCCCGTTTCTGTAGTTTCTTGACCCAGGAAATCCTTGGCCTGATCCTTATCAGGAGTGGCAGGCCTAGGGTTTCCCTTGGAGATCGGGGGTGGGACAGGGAGTTTTGATCTGATCCCTTGGTGTGCAGGCCTGAGTCACTGGGGAAAAAAAACACCCGTAGTTTTTTGCTGGTCCCCAATGGCTTTGGAGACGGAGTGTACTGCTTTCCTGCCTTGCTCTAACCAGGGTTGGGCCTCCTGCTGGCGGGTTGCTGGGGGAAATGGGCCATTCATTTTCTGCTGGGACGTTCTTATGCTGTTCTTTACAGCCACGCCTCCCCAACCCCCCACCATTAATGCTTTTAGCACCGTGGCTCTGTTAGGTTAAGCCGGGGTACCCAATGGGGGGCTGGAGACTTCTGGGTTGGGGCCTCCTCAGGAGGGTCCAAAGAGAAAAAGCAGTCCTGCCCCTGGAGGTTTCAAATTGCTTCTGTAAGAATGTGTGTGTGTGTGTGTGTGTGTGTGTGTGTGTGTGTGTGTGTGTCCCTGTCCCTGTCCCAGGGGATTTAGGACATCCACCCTCTTCAGTCCACCTGTCAGACACTAGGGGGTCTCTGGAGGTCTCCATGGGAAACTTCTGAGAACCAAGTATGGTTTTGGGCTTTGACTTGAAGACTGGAGGAGGACCCTTTGTGTCACCAACCCCAAATGGGGTCTCTCTGCAGGTCTTTCCCCCTACTCTGGTGTGGAAACTAACTGGAGTCTAATCTTTGGCCTGGGGAAGAGTGGCTGGTTGGCTCTCCTCCTTCTCATTTGGTTCCTTCTGGAAGTGAGCTCTGTGGCTCAGGCTGCAGACATTTGTGGTGATCAGTCAGTTTTAGAGTCAGCTGGAAGGGGTCCTCACTGGGGTGTTCCCAGGGGTGGCCTCTCCAGATGAATTCTTGATGTCCCTCTATCTAGGTTGCAGGCAAGCAGAGAAAGGCTTGGGTGTCCCAGGCTCCCCAGCCAACGCCTCATCTAAGTGGGTGGAGCTTTGTGATTGGCACATGGTTCCTCTAGTGGGCTGGCGGCATCCCCATTTTCCAGATGGGGAAACCCTGAAGGCATCTCCTCCCAACCTTGCAGCTCCTTAGCTGTGTGGCTCAGCTCCAGAGGTGGCAGGATTCCAATACATTGCTAAGAATGTCCCTGAGCCCAGAGCATTCCATGCTGAAGTCAAGGAGCTCTTAGTGGCCTTTCAGTGTGGCTTTTGGGTCCAGAGATTGGCATGCAGCCTTGCTGTGAACTGCAGCTCAGGAGTTCAGGTTGAACGTGTGTGTGTGTGTGTGTGTGTGTGTGTGTGTGTGTGTGTATGTGTGTATAACGGGAGCTTTGTTCTCTAGAGCCTCTGGCCAGGCGCCCATGGGTCATTGAGTAACTGATACATAAACATCCCATCCTATAATACTATAATAGCCAGGACAGGGCTATGGGATTCTGTCTGTCCTTCCTCTAGCAGTCAGGGATTGTCAGTGAGACATCTGCATAGGACAAAGGGAGATGACTTGGTTGACCTGAGAGAGGGGCTTAGCCACTAATTCATGATAGGCTCTGCCGTGTCACACAGGGAAACATCCTCAGTCTCCCAAAGAAGAACTCTGCCTCACATCGAAGATGCCATGGTAGTAGATCAACCGTTAGCCTGTGACCACTTCAATTTTTTTTTTAAAGAAATGGTCTAATATAGCCCAGGTTGCCCTTGAACTCTTACGTTGCCAAGGATCTTCTCCTGTCTCCGCTTCCATGGAGATAGGTTTACAGGCAGCATTACCACGTTTATTTAATGTAGTTCTGGGGATGGAACCCAGGGCCTCATGTGTTCCGGACCCTCTTCCTGCTGAGCTACGTTCCCAGTCGCTTTTTGTTGTTTTCTGGGAAGGGTGGCCTGCTTTGCCACCACATCTGGCCCGTTACCTGTCTTGATCTTGGCTTCTGTGAGAAGGAGCTGTAACCAGTCTCTATGGATGAGTTTCTGTCTGCATTAAGTTAAATCAGGAAACCTTGGGTTAGGGAATTGAGCCTACTGGGCACTGGACCTGGAGGGTCCCAGCTTTCTTTTGGTCTTGATTTATGGGGTTTTAAATTTAGACTTCATTATTTTTCTTGAGACTAGATCTTGTGTATCCCAGGCTGGCTTTGGATTTACTTTGTGTCTGGGGATGACTTTGAACTCTTGATCCGTCTGCATCCACTTCCTGGGGAAAGGGGGTTCACCACGTGCCTGTCTGATTTGTTCTTGTTCAGTATCTCTGGATTCTAGTGCCCTGGCTTCTGCAAAGTCAGTGACACCTGCTCTGTGCATGTTGAGGCAAGCAAGGCATCAGAGGACTACAGCTGGTACCACTGCCCACCCTCCCAGGTCCTGTGAGTGGATGGCCCATTCATCTCTTGTTGGTTTGGCCATGGCAGGATGGTCATCACTAGGTCGTGACTCATCATGTCACTGTTTTGTGAAGAGATGCTTCTCTGTAACAGTTGGTTGACGGGAAATTTTTACTGCATGAGCAGTTCCAATCTTATTTTGGGTCTTTAAAAAAAAATCCGTGCCATTGGAACATTGAGTCGTTTTAAATAGTTTTTGGGCTCGGATTCATCGTTGACACTCACACCTTAGATGAGTCTTTGCTTTTCATTTTACACGTGTGGGTAGCAGACATCTCAGGGTAGAGGAGGCTGGCGTGTCTCCTGTTGGTTTGCAGATACTAGGAGGTCCCCCCGTTTGGGCAGAATGTTGGGTGTCCCTGGGGAAGAAGTGGCAGGGAAGGGGAACTTCGCTTGGAGTCTGCATGGTACAGTTTGGGAAAGCCAGGTATAGGTTACATTGGGGATTGATCTGTCTATACAGCCTGTAGTGAAGCTCTGTGTCCTCCTGTCCCCAGGAATTTAAGAATTTGGGGGGTATTATGTCCCACGGGCAAGTTCCCCAGGCTGATCTTAACTGTATTCTCCATTCTGTGGGTAAGGGTAATCCCATCTTTGCTGCACACCTGGTGGCCCTCAATGTGTGAACAGTCCTTCAAGCCACTGGCTTTTCTCCCACCTCTTCTGTAGGGGGACCTTACTCCCCGGGCCCCCGGGACTCCAGCCTCAGGCTTGACTCTGCACCTCGTTTTTCACTCTCCAAGCAGCTGCACCCCTTTGCTGTTTCTCATGGCCTCTGGCCCTCAGAGCAGGCTTATTTCAGGAACAGTGGAGGTTGGCTTGCAGCCCAGTCTGGCGTTTGCTTCCGATGCCCCTCAGAGGTTAGGACACTTCATCAAAGCCTGCTTTACAAGAGGGGAGGCCCTGTACACACAACAGCAGGAGAGAGGCCACCGCCCTTCCCCTCTTGGCTTCGGGGCAGATAGTGGTACTGCTCGAGATCCGGGCCCAGCTGGGTGGCCTTGGGACCTGCTGGTCCCCGTCAGAGGTCACATCAAGGGAGAGTACCTGAATGCCTTCTTGAAAGGACCTCAGGTTTTCACAGGAGAGCTGCAGAGACATGCCTACTGACAAGATAGTAGGGGGTTGGTTGGAGGTGCCCCGCTGGAAACCCCATCTGGGAGCAGAGGGTCTGGGGTTGGGGACTGAGTTATTGTCCCCTGCTCTGAAGGCTGCTATAGAAGTCTCACTGTTGAGGTCTCAAGGGTGTGACACATAGTTGTGGGCACTGGTTACCATCTTTTTCTCTCCAACTGTAGGGACTGAGGATGCCTTGGAGACGAGCCTGAGAGCCCATGGGTCCCACACCATTAAGCATGTGCCCGAGAAGCGGCCTGTGCCTATTCGCAGGAAGAGAAGTATTGGTGAGCACGGGAGGGTGTGCAGTAGCTGTCAGGGGGCAGGTCCCCACTAGAGCTGTGAGTGAGTGCTCCCTGCGTACTCGGGGACAGGCACAGCCACCTAGCCTTCCTCCACCAGACAAAGGCTTCGCTGGCCTTCTGCCCTCCCCGTGGAAGCCGCCCTCTTTCTCCTCTGTAGAGTGTCTCCTGCCTGCCCTTCTGCAGTCTTGTGCCTGGGCCAAGAGTTTCCAGGAGGGGAACATTATAAATTCCTTAAGTGCCCGGTCTTGTCAGGGCCTGTCTGCAAGGAGGCTTCGTTGGAAAACGTGGCCAAGCTTAATTTCCAGTTCCTGATGGGAGCTCCAGCGTGCTCCTGGGCTTCAGCTGCAGAGCTGGGGTGTATGCAGCCCGGAGTCCGCTGGACACCTCCTCCCGTGCCCCTTCCTCATTCACCTTTGTCGCTAGGCTTCCCCCTGGCCCTCGATTTGGGGGAAAAAAAATTAGATTCTCTCAGGACCTGTGTGCTCTCTTCCTGGGGTGGGGTTGCAGCTATGACCTGCTTGTGTCCTGTTTGCCAGCTGGCTGCTGGGTGATCCTGAGCTAGTGGGTTCCCTCTCTGGGAGATGGAGTTATCAGTAAGATGGTGGGTTTTATTGATGCCTCGTTGGCTAGCGGAGAACTTTGGTGAGATGAGAATAGATGGGAGTTTCCAGCCAGGCCTCAGTCATCCAGCTAGGACTCTAGAACCCCTTTTCCCTGTGGAGCTGTGTGTGTCGTAGGGGGTGGGCACACTGAGTGCAAACTACTCAGACAGCTAAGGCCTCTGTATGGAACTCACTTGGAAGACTCTGTATAAGATCGGTGGTGGGAGATATAGAGGGGCCGAGCCCAGTCATGCAGTGTGCCTGGCCCAGTGTTTGAGGGGAGGGGGCTCTGTGTTAGAGGGACTCATAATCCAGAAGGACAGTGCAGACCTCTGGAGGACAGGGAGGAATCTGGGCCCCATCTCTGTTCATTCATGCATTCCTTCCTCACCACCAGGGAGTCTGTAAACACCTGCGTAGCTCCTCTGGGGTGTGTTGGCGCTTGTCCCTTGTGTCTCCTAGGTATGGTTCACTCCTGCTGGTTAGCTGGCCTGAGTCTCTTCTACCCTGAGGATCCTAGCCCCCTTACTCCTTCCAGCTCTGAGTCTAGGGTTGAGGAACCCTTCAGTGTTGATAGGGCAGCAGGAATAGTCAGTAGATAGCCCCCAAAGACTTCCTGGTAACCTCAGCCTCCTCTCACCAGATTGGCTACTCCCAAAGCTTGGACACTACCAGGCAGCCATTATATCGTAACCAATGGGGGTCTAGGGTTCCATGGGGTTAATGTGGATTGTTTGAGGAAGAGAAAGGTGTGTCCCCCATGGTCCTGAGGGGATTTCTTGTCTGCTGTGCACACGTGGCAAGCAGATGGCCCCAGACTGGTTGTGTTCATCTGTGTGATTAGTGCAGGGAAGGAAATAGCTGCCTCCTCCCTGGGGGACAAATAAGTGTAGTTTTGCTGGCTTTCATGACCAGGTCCCCAGCTCTGGGCTGTGTGGAGACTGGGGTTGAGCTGCTCCTCTGCTGTCCCATTTCTTGGCCTGCAAAAGCAAGGAGAGGGGTACTAGGGATGGAACCAATCAATGCCTAGTGTATGCTAGGTAAGGGCTCTACCACTGGGCAACACCCAGCCCCTCACTGGGGGATTCTAGGCAGGTGCTCTGCCACTGGGCAACACCCAGCCCCTCACTGGGGGATTCTAGGCAGGTGCTCTGCCACTGGGCAACACCCAGCCCCTCACTGGGGGATTCTAGGCAGGTGCTCTACCATTGGGCAACACCCAGCCCCTCACTGGGGGATTCTAGGCAGGTGCTCTGCCACTGAGCCACACCCCCAGCTCTTCACTTGAAGGAATTCTAGGCAAACATCATGCCACTGAGCCACACTCCTAGCACTTCACGGTTGTGGGTGTGGGGGGAGAGGGTCTAGGCAAATGTTATATTGCTGAGTCATTTTCCTAGCCCTCTTCACTTTTGAGACAAGACCTCCCTAAGTTGCCCAGGTTGACCTTGAGCTATGTCTGTTGCTTCGATGTGAGTTTCCGCCCTGTATATTCAGGGGCCTATTGGCAACCAGCATGTTGGTTTTTTTTTGTTTTTTGGTTTTTTTTTTTTTTTTCCATCTGAGAGCCGTCACAGGGATGAGCTTTGCCCAGGTCTAGCCTAGGTGGGCATCTCCAGTTTGGGTTGGGAGATTGGAGGGTCATGTTCGTGTGCTACTGGTAGATTCCTAGGTCTCCTGATTGACAGTACTCTTGCCTTTGCAGAAGAAGCCATTCCTGCAGTTTGCAAGACCAGGACAGTCATTTACGAGATACCTCGGAGCCAGGTGGACCCCACATCGGCCAACTTCCTGATCTGGCCCCCGTGTGTGGAAGTGAAGCGCTGCACCGGATGCTGCAATACCAGTAGCGTCAAGTGCCAGCCCTCAAGGGTCCACCACCGCAGTGTCAAGGTGAGAGCCCTGCCCTGTCTGGTCGTCAGCCTCGCAGGGTGCTCTTGGCTGGTGAGCGTGGGAGGGGGGGGAATGCGTGGTTTGAAGGGGGCCATATGACTTAAGGTTGTTAGCACACCGTTCCGTACAAAGCCAGGGGGCTGGCTTTCAGCGGCCTTCAGGAGTGACTGCGGGACATTCAGTGGTCACAGCGTGCTTCTGTCATTGAGGAGTTGTTGACAAATGTCTCTTTATTCTAGATAGCATAGTATCTGGAATGGGCTCTGATGGCCAACCAAAGAAGGTGGTTCACTCAAGTCTAGCTTGCTGAGGAGCTGAGGAGGTTATTTTGACTCAATAATAGGCAGCTGTAGCACAGGAAAGCCCGCCCTGACCTTGGTGATACCTGGAGAAGTCCATGTCCCTAGAGCTTCCTCCCAGAGAGTCGGTCTCCTCCTCTCCCCCGCGATTGTTACTGCTTCTGTGCGTGTGTGCTTGTTTCATTAGCCTCCCAGGGTCTTACTAGCCCCCTCTAGGAAGGAGTGTAACTCAGAGGGAACAGCCACTTATCACCATGAGAGGTATCTGAGGCCCCCAGTTGGCATACGTGGTCATTATCTGTATGAATGACTGTGGAACTTGAGTCTGTTCCTGTGTGGACCTGTGTGTCCCTCTGTGCTCCTGGGGGCTCCGTTGTTGGCCTTCTTGCAGGATGATGGAGGGTTTCTAGCTCCTAGGGGTTTGGTTCCGCTTTGGGCATGGGTCTAAGAACATGGTTGAAGGCCGGTTGTCTGTGTTGCCAAGCTGGAGCCCTCTGTGCTCCACCAGTCACTCTCGGACAGCGGCTCTCAACCTTCCTAGAGCTGCGACCTTCCAATACAGTTTCTCTCATGTTGTGGTGCCCCCCCCAACCATAAAATTATTCTGTTGTTATTTCCTAACTGTATTTTGCTACTGTTAGGAATCATATGGCTGTGGGACTCCGAAGGAGTCACAACCCATAGGCTGAGCATCATCGCCCTAGGCTGCTCTGAGGTCTGAAAACTGACTCCACCTAGTTGAGACCCTTTTGCTAAACGTGGACCACTTGGGTGGCTGAGCGGACCACTTGGGTGGCTGAGCGGGCACAAGGGACTCTAGACAGCTGAGGGGCTAGCATGCCTCTGAGGATAACATCTGCTTCTGACACAGCCAGGCTTCTGTAGCCAGGCTACTTTTTTTTGTGTGAAGGCTCCCCAGAATTATGCATGAGGATTTCAGGGCCCCCCATTCTTATACCCTAGTGAATCCATCTCAACTCCCAACCATGCACTGACCCTTGGCCCTGGTGGAAGGGAGGTGCCAGGAGAACATGTTTCTTGGTAAGGACTTGTATTCGGTACCTTATTTGTGACCCCAAACCCGGGCACCTGCAGTTGAGACTGCCTTTGATGGCTGCTGTTTGGTCTCCTGGGAGTTCCAGGGCTTGACTGATGTCATTGCAGGCATCCTCAGGACTGGACACCCCATCAAAAGCCCTGGGCTTTTCTCAGGTTCCCATGGACTTGTCTGGGGTGCTCTCTGGGTTTGCTATCCACCCTAAAGGTTGGACAGGGATGTTGGCTACTGTCAGGGTGCTGGCTTAAGCACCCTAGTAGCTCATGTGACCTGGACCTGCCTCAGCCTTTCCTTGGGCCTCAGGATCCCCACTGATGCTATATTGAGGAGTCCGGAAAGCTGCCATCTTGTTCTTTCGGTTCAGGTGATGGGTTTGATCGAGGATAGGTCTGTCTGTTTATTGATCTGTCTGGCTTCATTCCTTGCCTGCCTACCGTGATTACCTTGTGTAGTCTAGACTGGCTTAGCACTGTGTAGCCCAGGCTGGTGTTAACCCTCCCTCAGTGTCCTGCCTGGAATCACAAGAGTGTGGCAGTGTGAGTTCTGAAGTAGCTTTTCCATGCTGGAGACATGCGCGGAGGTTGACTAGTGTGACCAGGTGTGGGTTTTGACTTGGAGGTTTTCATTCTCCGGCCCCTGGGACAAGGACTGTCCATTCCCACTGGCACTGCTGCCCACTGGGATTGATCGCCCCTTCTCTGTGCTTTATGGGACTGTGCCTTTACCCGTTACCCCATGGGGCTCGTTTTTGCCTGGTGGGGTCTTGGTCAGTTGAAAGGGGCCAGTCTAGCCCTGGTTGTGCTAGGCTCTCCCATACTTTCTCCTAAGCTCTTACCCACATACACCACCACTACCACCCACCCAGAGCTGGGAGGGGACATCCGGCCCCAGCTCCTGCAGGCTCTGGCAGAGGGGACAGAAGGTCAGTGGAACAGGAGCCCCATTGTGGATGCCAGCTCTGCAGCATTTAGGGTGGAGGCTGGTGATGACCTGGATGGAGGGAGATGGGCCCAAAAGTCCCAGACTCAGAGTCAGCAGGGTGGGGCTGATGATGAGGCTCATAGCAACCATATCTACCCTGTATGATATGTGCCATCAACCCTGGTTCTGGTGTGTGTGTGTGTGTGTGTGTGTGTGTGTGTCCTTTCTTGTGGTATTGTGTATTAAACCCAGGACTTCTCAGTATAGGCAAACATTTACCACTGAGCCACACCCCAGCCCCTCACTGGGGGATTCTAGGCAGGTGCTCTACCACTGAGCCACACCCCAGCCCCTCACTGGGGGATTCTAGGCAGGTGCTCTACCACTGAGCCACACCCCAGCCCCTCCCTGGGGGATCCTAGGCAGGTGCTTTACCACTGAGCCATGCCCCCAGGTCTTTGTAGTTTTTATTGTGAAAGAGGGTCTAAGTTAAGGTACTCAGGCTGGCTTTAAACTCGCTCTGTAGCCTAGGCAGGCTTTGAACTCCTACTTCAACCTCCCAAGTGCTAACTGGGATGACATCTGAACAGCCTGGGACTTCACCCTTTTGGCCTCCTGTGCCCTGTCTGTTGTTCTCATCGTGTGCTGCCCGAGCCCAGGAGCTAGCAGTGTTCTGCAGACCTTGCTGTGAAGGCTCTGTGGGCCTGCACAGTGGAGCACAGGCCGGGCTTGTGGAGCGGCTATCTGCGGTGTTTGGCCTGAACAGAGGTGAGGCCTCTCCTGTCTACATTGCATGGGACTGCCAAGGGGTCAGGTCGTCACCTCAGAGCCATTGTTTGGCCTGGCTTGTGAGCTGTATAGGGAGGTTCGTTACTCAGTCTTGTGCTCAGGGCCCTGCTGGGTCAGACTTCAGGCTTCGTTGTGCCCCCAACTTGGCTAGAGTCTGGAACTGTGTTCTAGAGAAAGTCCCAGCTGGGCTCCATCAGGCAGCTCGTGCAAAGATTTCAGAGAAGGTGGTCAGACTGGCTTTCGTTCTGAAGAGGCTGAGGGTCTGAGGAGGCTGGACCGGCATGGCAGAAGACATCCCAGGTGTGTGTGTGTGTGTGTGTGTGTGTGTGTGTGTGTGTGTATCTGGGGTCTCTTCCTTTCAACTGCTATGTGTGGGTCCTTGGCCAGATGGGACAGGGGTACCCCTGTCTTTGAGGCCTGGCACCAGCTTCCCACTTCAGTGGATGTCCATGGGACACTTTGGGAACCAGAGCACAACACCCTCTTGGTCAAGTTAGAGGGTTGGCCTGGGAAGATCCCTGGTCTCTGGGATTGTGTGGCCTCAGGACCTCATGCCTTTTAAGTCCAGGCTATTAGAAAGCAGAGGTGAGAGCTGAGGAACCTGGACTGGTCCACTGGTCTGCACTCAGGTTTCTCATCTGTTAAAACAGGCCGTAATAGGGTCCGTGCAGCTCGCCTGCTGGAGGGCCTGTGCTCTGTGTGTCAGCTCAAAGACAGCACTGTCCTGAGGCTTGGGAGCAGTCAGGACAAGCCCTCCCGGGAGGGGGGGAGGGGCATTGAGCAGACAGAGGTCTGGCCAGGTGACCATCTGGGTTGAACTTGAGGGAGCTGGGGATTGCTTGTGGAGCAAGTGGCACTCCTGGGACCTTACCGTCTCCTTTTATACTTTCATGGAGGCAGTTTTGAAAATTTAGTATTCGTAGCATGTTCTTGAGGGGGGAAAAATGTAGCCGTTTCCTGGCCAGACAGAGGTGGCAGAGAGGCTGGAATCCTCGCATTCCCAAGGCAGGTGCTCCTATAAACCTCTGTTTGTTTTTGTCTGGTAAACATGGGACTGTCTGGGAGAAAGGGGGCTCCCCAGCTGGGGCAGCTCATCAGTTGCCCCTCATGCAGGGGACCCATAGGTTCAGAGGGGACGGTTGGACCTGCCCTGCAGCCAGGGTGTAGGTGAGGCCTAGGCTTAGCTGGGCGGTCTTGAGGTTTGCTGGATTTCCAAGGACTGTGAACATCTTTGGAGGTTGGAGACTGTGGCAGGGGTTCAGCACCGCCGCCTACAGTTCCTCTAGGGACTGGCTGATGTTTTCTCCTTTGGGAGAACTCCCTCTTCCCCAACCCCACCCCAGGGCCCTTCAAGGGAGGGACAGGGGTTGCCCTTCTGTTCCCTGGGGTGGAGTATAAGACCACATTTCCGAGCTTAGGGACTGGGGTTTGCGGTGCCTCTGGGGACTTGCCGACTTCCTGAACGGGACTTGGAGGCTCATTTTAGTAAGAAGCCTTGTATGAATACCGACTTCTGTTGAAGCTAGCTCCTGTAGGGTGGCCCTGTCCCCCATCTCTAAGTGATTCTTTAATGTTGTATCTTTTGTTTGTTTGTTTAATGCATTGTCTTGCTCTGTAGCCGGGCTGGCCTGGATCTCAGTGTATAGCTCAGACTGGACTTGAACTAGAAGCAATCCTCTTGCCTCAGCCTATTGAGCACTGGGGTCCAGGCCTGCTGCACTGTACTGTATGCTTGACTTCTGAGTACCTCTGCTGAGGTGACCTTGCTCTTCTTTCGAGAGCTACCTGGGTGGGTGTGAGCACTGCCCCATTTCACAGGTCAGATTGTAGGTATCCGGACAGCATAGCTCGATTACACCTCAGATGCCCCTGCCCTCACTGTCCCTAGTTGCTGTCCCTCCCACCTTGACGCAGCGAAACCTCCTGGGCTGGCCCTTGGCCCCTGACCCCTGGCCCCACGCCCTACATGCTGAGCTCATACTTGGCAGACTGCATTCACACCTGAGGCACCCACACTACTTCACACGCCCGCCGGGTACCTGGCACCCTTTGCACCCACGTTAACCATTAATGTAGCCAAGGTGGTAGCCACAGCAGAGTCTGGTCCCCAGTGCCCTGAAGCAGCTGTTTGCCCTGGATGCCTGGTTCTCTTGGCTCCTGAGTGTCAGGGCCCTCAGGAGAGCAGTGAAGAATGTTCCCCTACCCACACTCTCTCAGTCACTCTGCATGGGCCAGGCATTTTCCCCACCATTGACTGCCCAAGAAGCTGCCACCTCTATAGGTGTTGTAGGCCAGCCGGGGTGGGTTCATCACTATTACAGCCTCAGTTTCCCCAGGGTATGGTAGGATGTGAGGACGCAGATTTGGCGCTGGTTGTATGCAAAGCTGAGAGGATGGCATGTGTTTGAGGCGGTACTGAGGTCGGGACAAGCCGCCAATCACGCTCTCCGGGTCACCTCAGGAGAGGGCTTACTGTCCCTGAGTTTTCTTTTCTATCCATGGAGGTGACAATCCTGCCTCCTCACTGGCTGGCCAGGAGGGTTAAATGAGAGCCAGTGTCTGAGCTCCGAGGGAGGTGACCCGGAGCATTCCCTAGTGCGACCTCATGCTGGACTAGAACAGGGTATGTGGCCCAGGCTGCCTCCTGATGCAGTACCTGACGGGCCGGGGTGCGCCGAGTGACTGCCGTATGAGCGTGGTATGGGAGTGTGCCCTGCATTCCTGTGTTGGGAGCTGTTGCACCTTGCACATCTGTGTGTGTTTGTGGGGGGTGGCAGGACACACACATGACAGAGTATTGTCCTGAGAATGGCAAGTTGTCATGGTTAGCCTCTGGCCGGGACCAGGGCAGGATTTGCTGGGGATTCTAGAGTCCAGTATGAACTTCTGGTACCTGCTGTGTTGCTGTGTGTCCCGTGACCCTGAGTTGAGAGGGAAATGGCTCTCTGAGTGAGGCCCCTCCCTCAGCAAGCTTTGTAGCCACGCTGTTGTCCCTAGCTGAGGTTCCGTTTTCTTCACTAACACAGATGCCAGAGAAGTATTGTTCTCGGCCATCCTGTGTCCAGTTCACCCTTTCTTTGCTGATGCCCTTCAGATCTTTTGGGTACTTAGGAGTCTCATGTAGTCCAGTCTGGTATCAGCCGTCTATGTTGTCAAAGATGACCTTAAGTTCCTGATCCTCCTGATCCTCCTGATCCATCCTGAGTCCTGGGATTACAGGCTTGTGCCACCACGTTCATTCGGTTTATATGGTGCTGGGGGTGGAGATCGGTGTTTTGTGGATGCCAGGCAAGCACCTGCTAACTGAACCGCATCCCTTGCTGCATAGCCCAGGCTGGCCCTGAGCTTCTGAGCTCCAGAGTGCTGGGATGGCAGCTGTAGGCCTGCCTGGCATCATCGGGGTTTATTTTGAATGGAAACAGGCCTGAGTAAAGGGAAGATGCCCTGGGGAGGTTCGAAATCTGAGTCCCAGTTTGGGGTGAGCCAGGCAGGTCCCTCTCGGGCACATGGTGTTGACACTGGCTTTGTTCCCTTGGCAGGTGGCCAAAGTGGAGTATGTCAGGAAGAAGCCAAAATTGAAAGAGGTCCAGGTGAGGTTAGAGGAACACCTGGAGTGTGCGTGCGCGACCTCCAACCTGAACCCAGACCATCGGGAGGAGGAGACAGGTGAGTGGCCGCCGCTGTTAATTTGCTGCGGGTGGGTCAATCACAGAGTGATGGGAAAATTGCTTCCACTGAGTGAGGCGGCAGGCCTGGACTTCCCAGCTGTCCGGACTGGCTTGCAGGGCACCACATCCAGGTGGGATCATAGACACTGGTTTCAGACTGTGCCCTGCTGCCCAGGGTCTTGACCTTCATATCCTGCCCAGCATACCTGTCCCTTTCCAGCGTTCAGCCAGTCCAGGTGCAGAGAAAGACCCGGAAGTGTCTCTGCACCAGGGTGGATTGGGCTTTCTTTCTGCAAGATAAACACCCTCTAGTATTTATTGCTGTGGCTTCCCACCCCAGGCCCTCAGGAGGCCACTCACCTTCCCTGCCCTTTCCTTGACAGGAAGGCGTAGGGAATCAGGTAAAAAGCGGAAAAGAAAAAGGTTAAAACCCACCTAAGGCGGCCGACCAGGTAGGCCCTGCCCGCCGGGTGCGCTGGGGGACTCCCTTGCAGGGCTGGGACACAATCACAGGAGTGAATCAGCTTCCATGGGCCCTGATTGGCTCAAGGCTCTGTGTGCTTCTGGGGCTGCTGGGCCGGGTCTCTTCTCAGCTACAGCTTTGCCCTTCTCTTGGTCATCGATCAGGCACCCGAGTGCCCTGTGGCGGAAAGGGTGGGGGGCTCTGGTTCTGCTGAGCTACCTGGGGAGAAGCTGCTCACTGCACTGAAAGATGAAAGGAGAGAGGCTTTTCCAGGCGACAGGTGAGGCTTGTTAGAGGCTGTGTGGCTCTGAAGCACTTAAAGTGGACCTGGTAGTTGGCCTTGTGACCGGTAGCAGCATGGGAAAAGGCGGTAGACGTCCATCTGCATGAGACCAGGAGGGGAATTCAGAACAGGTGTCACTGGTGGGCCTTTCTGTTTGGTCCTGTAGATTCTGTCTTCAAAAAGACTGTCAGGACCTATGGTGGTTGCCAACACTCTCGTATTCCAAGCTGGAAGAGTCAGGTTAGGTAACAAGGGCTGTAGAGCCTCTTAGGAATGCTTGTTCCAAACCCACCCTGTGACGGCAGTTTTTCCCCGGAAGTGTAGGGAATGTAGGTGAGGCATGTCGTTTCCCAGGCCTGTCCTGAGTGTCAGCTTGTCTGGCCCAGAGTACTGGAGCCTGTCTGGCTGAGCCCTTCCTCCTGGCACATGGGACTTAGGGGCATCCAAGACAAACAGTTATTCTGGGCAAGAGAGTCCTCAGAGATAGGGTGTCTGAGAGCCCTGGCTCCCACAGGAGTGTGGCTGGGGATGCCTGCTTTGGGCATGTGTCTCCTCGAGCAAGTCCTTGGGCTTGTTCCCTGTGGCTCTGATGGGCCTACTGCTGACAGAGACCCTCTCCGAGTGAGAGCAGGTGTGCCCATAACTGCCTGTGTCCTGCTGGCAACCCGTCTCCAGGTTGTGAGTGGAGGCTCTGGTGGCTCCTTTTGGATCTGGAGAGTCTACCCTCGTAATAGCTAGTGTTTGTTCACCAGGACCATAAAACAGCCGTGTGTGCACGCATGCACACACACACACACACCATAGGTCTGCCTCATCACAGAGACCCACACACAGTGTGGCTGGTGGTATCTGTTTTCTCAGTTACTTCATGGCCCAAAATGTCTGCTAGACCTTCAGCGAGCATGAGCCTTAGGCTGGAAGAAAGAAAGAGGGGAAAGGGCAAAAATAAACTTTCAATGCCTCAGTTTCTCCATCTGTGCAATGGGAGCATGGGTTCTGCTGTGAAATGCAGCCAGTCTAGTCCTAATTCTTGACTGTGGAAAATTCGATTTTTTTTTTTTTAAAAATTACATATCAAGTTTATGCCTTACGAAGTAAGTTGTGTGGAGCCAAGTGGCCCTGGTGTTTTCTGTCTTTGGTCATAGCCTCCACTCTTTCTCTCTTCCCGCAGATGTGAGGTGAGATGAGCCGGCCGCCCTCTCCCGGGACACGGATGTACGTGGCGTGTGACATTCCTGAACATACTATGTACGGTGCTTCATTGCCAATGTGCGTGCGGTCTTTGTTCTCCTCCGTGAAAAACTGTGTCTGAGGACAAAGAGACAGTGTCCGTTTGTTCAGTGTGACATCAAAGCAAGTACTGTAGCACTCGGAGAGGCAGCGAGAAAGCTTCCTTGTCACAGAGAGCGAAAACAAAACCACAAAAAAAAATAAAAAAAAAAAATTAAAAAAAAACCACCAAAAAAAAAAAAAAACCAACCCAACAACAACAACAAACCCACCACAAGAAACAAAAAGACTGAGGTGGGCAACAGAAGGGCCGTCCTGCAGGATTGACCCTTGAGGGGTAGCCGATGTTGGCCACTGCCCTGAATTCTGCCCGTGGGCACAGGTGCTTTTCGCTGAGGACGCCCGGAGCCTGCCTGGGATGCTGCCCGCTGGTTCCACTAGGCAAGGAAGCTGAACAGCTGGGAGATGCCCACGGGCCTGGAAGCCGCCACCTCGCTTGAGTCTGCCTAGGACTTTCCAGACGGCCTTACGTGGAATTTCTTTTTCCTTTCCTTTGCTTTCTTTCTCTCTCTCTCTTTTTTTTTTACACCATAAAGTGATTAAGCTTTTTCTTTTTAATTCTCTGCCTAGCTTTTTCTTTCTTTGTTTCTTTCTTTTTCTTTTCTTTTTCTTTTTAAACCTCTTGGATGACATTTTCGTCGGTAACACGCACGAGGCTGCTGTAAGTTGGGACAGCGAGACGGTTATTTTTTCCTAGCCAAACTAATGAGGTGTATTAAAATAAACATGGTATACCTACCTATATACATCATTTCTGATGCGCCTTTGGCTTCCTGTGTTCCTCGGCCCTTTTAGCGTTAACTTCTAGCTTAAGTCATATGAGAGAACAACGTGGGAGTCATTCAGTGGCCGCCCCTTCCCCCAGCCCCCTGTGTGGCTACCCCCATTGCTAAACGCTTTCCATGGCCGTGCAAAGATGTGACTGAGATTAATTTTGGATAAGCTGTTTGGGCTTCACTGTTAAACAGAATTGTGTGTTTGTGGTCTCCTTGTTTTGTTTTGTTTTTGTAAAGGTGAACTTTGTATTTTTAATATTATCAGTTTATATACCTGAGAGCCTGCTATATATATATTTTTATTTTGAACTAAAAGGAGAAAAAAAAAATCAACAAACTTCATGCACACCAGAGGCATTCTGTGGTCCTGTTTTTCTAGTTGCTGCTTTCTAGAGTCTCTCCATCTCCCACCCTGGCCGGGCACATGGTTGATTTGGGAGTGTGAAAGCTTGGGGGTTAGAGAGAATCAGGGCCGGAGAAGTGACAGGCTAGCTGCCCTGGGCTCCTGAACGGAATGGGAACAGACCAGAGGGGACTGTCCTGCCTGCGAGTTTGAGGACAACACCCTCTACGGAGCCGGATGCCAGTGTTAGCCAGCAATGTGCTGAAGTGGCTACCAGGTGGTGGATGGGTCAACGTGGGTCTGAAACTTAAAACTCGGTGGCCATCAGAGGTCCCTGTTCCCCGTAGGCTGTTGTGCGTCCTCACGAGACACATCTAGAAGGAGTGTAGCAGTTCACCCTTGCTGTGTCTTAGTTGGAAACTGTCCAGGTGAACAGCATGGCTCAGGCTAGAGGGTTGTACCACACGCCAGGCCTTCCGCCCCCCAGGCTGCTCTATGCAAAGCCACTTGGTTCAGTGTTAATGGCCCTTAAATCAGGGGAGCCAGAGGCCTGGTGCTCATGGGAAATTCCCCAGGCTGGGAGCCCTCTGGGCCTGTTTCACGGTGTACTCAGTCCTACTGGGATCCAACCCCTCCCCCCTGCCACCCTACCACCACCCTGTAAGTGAGCTGCCTTGGTGGGTGAACGGCCTGCTGGGTGCTCCACCGACTTCGCTGCTGAGGGAGCAGTTCTGCCGCCTCTTGCCTTTCCCCGAGCCTCACCCATAGAGGGAACCAACCAGCGCTCCTAGGAGTCCCTTGGCTTTCAGTTTTCCTGCTCTTAACTTGTTTCAGCTGGTAGCCTTGATAGTTCTGTGACCTTCATAACTGACTTTGATGGTTCTTCCTGTGACCTTAGCCTGCTTCCTACGAACCCAGGACTAAGCTTTCCTCCTTAGCTTGGTGTTTCTCCAGTGACCTTAAGAGTACATGACCTTGAGGTCTCTTATGACCCTGAGGGGTTCTCCAGGACTGTAGCCTTGAGCTTTGTGTAGTGATCCTGGGATTTCTTGAGAATTCTTTTGCACCTCGAGCCTTCCTCCTGATCCCAGCCTTCAAGCTTCCTCTTGCAGCCTTGAGGTTTCTTCCAGCTCAGTGACCTTGAACGTTCCTTCCTCCGCCTGTGACCTTGGCATTTTCTCCTGTGACCTTTCCCCCTGTGCTGTGTGGTCTAATTTCTTACTGAGTTGTGACCTTGATTTCTACCTTGCTGTTTTCTACGAGCTTCTGGCCTTGAATTTTGGGTCATGACCTTTTGGGTTTCCTCCCACGAGCCCTGTGACCTCTCTCTGCCCCTACTGTGTATCTTAAAGCAGAGCTGTGGATGGACCTGATGCTTCGGATGGGTTCTGGTGTCCTCGGTGTCTTTGGGGCTGTGTCGCATCTGTCCCCATCCTCTAGCTCAGAGCTCTTCCATGGAGACAGGCTTCTACACTTGCCTGGAGGCGCCACTTTCCTTGTTCCCGAAGCTGGGTTTGTGCTAGCTGTTCTTCCCTTGCTGGAGTTCTCTGTCTTGGCCTCTTCCCTGGTCCCCTGGTCTGTGGGTTGGCTGGCCTGTGCTGACACAGAAAGCTGCCTTCAGCTGACCAGATCCAGCTCTTAGAGAAACAGGGGCAGCTGGACCACTTGATGAGCTCTCTAGAGGGGTCCCATAGTCAAGACCTGGTATGGGTGCCAAGGATGCCCGGCCACCCTTGACCTTAACTTCAGGTTTCCCTGGGAATTCTGGCCCTGGTTGAGATTCTCTCTGATTTAAGGATGGGGGTTACTCCCTTAACATATGCTGAACCCTTTAGGAGAGACGCACATGGACGTCACGGGGACACAATTTTAGGGGCAGCAGAGGGAACTGGGTTGAGGCTGGCTTGTCAGGAACCAAACGAAGCTGTGACGCACCCCATGCCAAGTTGTGACTCTGTCTGGACCTAGGCTCCTGGGCTCTTTACTGAAGCTACATGGTCCAAAGAGACTCATCGCTGAATCCTTCGAGGAGCCACAGCCCCCAGAAGAGCACACTGTACAACAAAAGAAGAGCGGAAGCTTGGCTTTAACTCTAGCCTGGAGGCCAACAGAATCCAGTGGGAGACATTTAGGGCTGCTCCTTAGAATCCTGCACAATTGAGGGGCTGTCGTGCAGTGTCCCTGGAGTTGCCCCAAAGGTTACTTTCTTCACCCAGGAAGGTTGCTGTCCCTTAGGACACCAGGGTCCAGTGAGGCCAGGTCAGATGGTGGAAGGATATTCACCCCTGTGAGGTGGGACAGCGAGGGTTGAGGGGCTCAGGATGCTGGAGATGGGATTTGAGCATGGTTGCTTTGGGTGCATGGCGCCCCAAGTTCTGGGGACTCTGGGCTGCAGCCAGCTTTAGCGGTGTGCGGTCTGAGTTGCGGGTGTGCCTCCCATTAGGTTTCTATTGCTGTGACACAACCACCGTGGCCAGAAGTGACCTGGGGAGGGAAGGATTGCTTTCGGTTTACACTTGTGGCCCGACAGCCGGACAAGTCAGGGCAGGATCTGATGCAGAGGCCGTGGAGAAATGCTGCTTACAGGCCCAGGGATAGCATCAACTCCATGGGATGGGCTTCCTCACAACAGTTATCAATCAAGATGATGTACCACAGGTCTATCTGGTGGGGGCATTTTCTAAACAGGTTTCCTCTTCTAAAACGACTAGCCAAAAATTCGCCAACACAAGGCAAGATGGTCTATAGTGGCACTTAGGACTTGGCGTAAACCTAGAAGCAGAGTCCCAGGTGCAGTGCCTGGTGCTGGGTGCTCCATTATAAGGCAGCCAGAATCTTCCCTTCCACAGGATGCTCCCCTCCCCCGCCTCCCAGAGAGCTCTATGAAGTGGGTCTCCATAGTAGGTTTCAGCGTCCAAGCTGTGTGTCTAACTAGCAGCCCATGTTGTGATATTTTCTTTTTGGCTTCAATAGTGAAGTTTAAAATAGTTTCATTCTTTTAAAAAGAATGTGGACTTGGATCAAAATCCAGGTAGTGTAGGATGTAGGCAAGCTTCAGGAGGTTGTAGGCGTGGCCAGCCTCTCGGGCCTGCCGTGTGCATGGCTGACCATGACCTGGGGCTAGAGTCAGGGCTTTTCCTACAACAGGCCAGCATCCTAGGAAGTGAGCAGAAGGTGGTCCCTTCAAATACCAGTGTGGAGCTGTGGAGCTGAAAGGAGCCCACATGGGACCCGGGTGCACCAAGAGTTAAGTCCCCATCAGGAGCATCCCCCAAGACTGAAATCAGAAATGATGGTGTCTTCAAGATGGCTGCCAAGCCCTCGTGAGCCTGTGGGAAGATCCTTGAGAGGAAATACAGGTGATGGCCACACCAGGTGTACCGTTATACCCTCCTCCCCTGGCTGTTCAAGACCCACATGGACCCATTCTAGGCTCCTGTGCCTGGCACCATGGCCACTCTGGGTTCAGGGTAGCTTTGTGGGCTGTAGAGTCCTGGAGGAAATGTAGCCATGCTGGGAGTTGACCGGGGAAGGGGGAGATGCTATCAGGTAGAGTAAGAAAGAGCTACTACATTGTCCTCTGCTGTCCTGGGCTAGGGCTGCCTCTGTGTTCCCCACCCCCAGCCTCCCTTTGGCCTCTTGGTACCCCGCGGCCCTGGACCCCTCAATCAGACATCCCCATGCATTCCCAACCCACCTGGCTCCAGGCTACCTGCTTTCACGCCTTTCTCTGTGGACACCCATGATGCTTTGAAGATGGGTTACACCTAAAGACAGTTAGCCTCTGGGGGTGGGGCTGGGGGTGACTGTGTCTCTAGATAGGAGTGCACACCTAGGTACCTGCCTGTTTCCCTAATCTTTCCCAGTTTCCACAAAAGGCAAAGAGGAAGTAGGTCACCTGCAGGCCCCTGCTTCCTACCTATCTATCTAGAAGTCTCTAGATAGTTTCTGCTAGCCCAGAGAGGCAGCTGGACATATCACCCCAGTGCTGGTATCTGCTCCTCACCTACTGAGTCCCGGGGCCCTCTGTGAACACCCCAGCTGCCACTTAGGGCTGCTCTAAGGGTGTTGGGAAAGGTCATGGGGAAGAATCCCAAGGGCCCCTGTTCAGAGACAGGAGGCTCCTTACTGGGCTCCTGGGGTGCATTGGCCTGGGAACCCCCAAAGCAGAGGAGGAAGGATGGGTAAGCAGCTCTCCCTGGGGGAAGATCCCAGCAAGGGGAAAGAGGGTCAGCCTGGGGAAACTGAGTCAGCTTCTGAGAAGCCTCCGAACTGTCCACTCAAGGGCAAAGGTTGCATTTATGTATCATTTAGCATGCAGGCTTTGGTGAATTCAACCCTGTGGTGTCCCCAAGTTGCCAGTCCCAGCTGAGGCTGCAGAGGCAGGAAGCTGGGGAAGCCCAGTGGGTATCTCTGTGACCTCCTGGCTGTGGTAGGGCTGAGTAGGGAAAGTACCCTGGGGCCCAGGAGCTATCCAGAAGATGACTAACATCTCCTCGAGTGTTTGTACACTATGCTAGGCCCTGCACGAGCCTTCACGTCACACTGCTCACCTGGCTGCCCCTTTCTTGAGGACTCTAGCCCGCCTGTCCATCCTCTGCAGAGCAACCAGATCTCAGGCCATGCCCTAAT